ATACACAATGAGTGCCATTGGTCTTGGTCGTCTGATAACTTATCCCGCAATGTGATGGCGGTAGATTCAGGGACATTTGAGCATACAACAGTCCGGGCACTGTTGTTGGATCTCTTTTTAATCGATCTACTAGGCATGGTACTCATTTGTCTTGACTTGTTGACAAGTGATTGTTTGCTGTTTTTCTCTCCATTTGCGTTAACGGTGTTTACAATGGAAGAGGACGCAACGGCGGCCTCTCGGTTGACCCTTGCAGCAATCTCTGCATATGTAACCGATGTTCTAGGAGGCTTAGTCTCGACAAGAGATATTTGAGCTACAGGTACCAAGGGTTGGTGTTCGGCTGCTCCATCCTTGTTAATACTAGATGTCAGGTCTAGTGGAATTTGCTTAACCAGACGTTTTGAATGGTGCCTGATTTTCTTTGCTGTGAGTACAGTTTGATTCACGTAGGTACAGTCTGTTTTTGCCCGGCGTTCTACCAAAGTTGGAGAAGACAACGGAGATGGAGACGTGGCTGATTGCTGTGCAGGCGAATCGATTTGTTCAGCATTCCGTTGCTTAGCAGCCGCTACGCTTCTGTGGTCCATACTCGCTTCCATTGAAGTAATCTCATTGTTTATCCTCTGCTCTGCTTCTGCGATTAACCGGTAGCATTTCTCAGCTAGGATAAGCAAGCACTTAACGAGGGGATGGTGGAACACGCAGTACAGAACCAAAATGCATGTTGGGAGTTATTTCGCTCCCGTAACTGTTGTTGGGACACATTTGCACATTTCGTATGGTACCATTCCAAACAGTGCGAACAAGCCAGGCCGATTTTTACTACCCGATGACATTCTCCTAACCCGCAAATGCCTTTCGATGGGAGTCTCTTCGGTTTCGCCTTTCTGCCATTCAATTTGGTGTCGTTACCTGACCCAGTGGGTTGGTTAGCGTTCTGTACTTTTACAGCTTTGAGAGCGGCGCACATCGGTCAGGCGAGCGTGGTGGTTGCAAGTTCAAATGAGCGGTCGGCGTGGTCGCGCGGTCCGTGTGATGGGTTATGCAGCCACACTGGCTGACAAGGTCACAAGGAATGGCGAGTGACTAGAACCTGAACAGAGCGCTGAACACAGATTGACAGATCACAGATTCTTTCACAGCTGTGTTGTGAAACACTGGATCGGAATAAGCTTAGGCTTTTCGGTCTGCTTCGAGAATTCCGTATCGAATGGTGCCACACAGAAAGGCAACCGGCTCAATATGATTGAATTAAACGCTTAAGCTTAATCACAGATGCCAGTGAAAACGGTAAGTGATGGCGTAGCCTCTAATCGTAGAACATATTTCCACGTATGATGGATCGCTGTAAATAGCTGGTAAATCAGGCCGGATTGAGCGTAGAGTGAAAAGGCTGCGAGAAGATGTAGAGGATAGAGGGAAATAATCCAAATGAACCAGGAGCACGCAAGCCTCGCGTGTGTGATTTTAACGACGATATCAAAATTGTCAAAACTTTTCGCCCTGCCACAATAAACGAAGCCATCAACACAATCCCGCTCGACCACCACGCGTTGGGAGCCTAGTGCTCAAAATGGGGAGTTATTTGCAAATTCGAGATAAAATTTAGCATTTTGGCCATTTATGATAATCCAATTAATATCTGCCTCACCATTCCGGATCTCGGACTGGGATAATCAGGCGCAGTTAAATTCTCCGAACAAGTAGATTACACTACTGCAAAGGCCAGAAAGGGCGTTGGATTGTTATTTAGAACAGTACGTTCTCATTCCATCCTAGAATATGGCTTGATAGTGCATTGTAACACAAACAAACGCAACAGATTTGCATTAGAAAATGTACAACGACCATTCACAAAACGTTTTTACGGTACCTCAGCAAAATTATAACCTTTCAGAAGATCTGATAACCCCAATTTGATTCCATCTATCTGACACGTATGTTACACATCTGAGTCATCTTTTTTACCGTCCATCACGAAATAATGCATGTGTTTTTAACATGGTAACAACACAATCACTAGAATACGGTACAGGAATTAACATTTGTGTGCTTGAATACACGTCGAAGGCCACCAGATACACCAACTTCTTCCTGAACAGATGTACTAGAAGCAGGAACAAATTAACGTCCGAAATACGTGCTTGAAATTCCGAGCAAGAATTTAGCAAAAAGACCAGCAGACTTTTGACTGTGTAAAACATTATACGCCTATTGGCATATCACGTAACAAATAGCCAGGTATACGAAGAAGGCCCAGGATTATTTGATCCAGAAAACAGTTTAAAACCGATAGTGGATTATACAGTGGGAAAGCCTCTACGGTCACCCATATTTTTCCTCCTACACGGCTAAACCTACAACCTGGCTATCACCAATACGTCTGTACCGACGTGAGAAGCCAACTGAACACGCCTCTGCTTCCTTCGTTTTCATTGTCGATGCTCCTATTCCTCAAATTTCAGTCGATCTTATATCTTCCTTTTCTAGGAGCCTCCTTCTCCAGGATCACATGAATGCCACAACCAACCTTCGATATTACTGAAAGGCCTTGAGCTATGTAACTGTCACAAAATATTATAAAGTTTACACGTACATTTTACTTATGTTGAGCCCATTTCCCTTTGTTAAAAACATCTTTCAAACGGTTCGTCTTCCTAATCTTAAGAGATCTACCAATCCCGATAAAAAAGGTTGCAGCATCAGATGACACATAAAAACGCCGTATGATATTTATGCCATTTCAAAACAGCAAATTGATTTGTACCAGTTGTACGTTTTTCAACCACTTGTAGTTGTGTGAAAATATCACCACAGACGTGTCTCGCTGAAAACTAGAATATACAACTTATTTATATAGATCTGTGCCGTGTGTGGAGATGGAATGCTAAGAAACTGAATGGGCTCCGGGTTGATTTTTGGGTATCGTTACAGTTAGCAAAAATTTGCGCTGAGACCGTATATTTCTGATAGTGGCAGTTGCTTGCAATGGGAGCAACATGACCTGTGAAGAGCAGTTGTGCTGACAAGCTGTTAACACTAGTCACAGAGTCAGATAGGTTAGCCATGCAGTGAGCAGCAGCGTGGATATCGTCATCGACTGCAGTTCTTAAAGTAGTATGCTAGCAGTATTTTAAGCCCCTTTCTTCCTTTTGTACATGCGCTTACGTCCACTTTGGTAGCGTTTTATCATGCTTTATAATGACACACTCAAATTCAAGTGCAGGTGCTATAACACACAACCTACATATTAGCTATTTTGCACTTTATGCATTTTCAAACTTAAGTATGTTTGGAGTTCTTTTTCTAGACGTACGACAAAGCATTACATATTTAAATGCACAGCGATGCTTAGGATCAGGTAATTCAGCTTCCTAGGAACTTGCATATCTTGAACATAAAATAACACAACATGGCTGGTACGGATGATTCGATCGATCGCCTTGGGGGAAATCATGGAAATTAGGTTTCCCACGAGGCCCAGGTTTTCGGATGACGGATTGTATGGTGGAATAGTTAAATGGAAACGTGATTCCATTATAAAAACCGGGAGCCAAACAGCCTCAATCTCTCTGAGTTCTCACTTCTCTTTCAGGCTCATTTATTCTATACTGGTTGTGTTGTACCCGCTTGAAAACACCACAACCCTCAATATACATCTGTTCCATCAGTTACGGTCCCAGTGATCGAATTTAGCATAGTTTACTTTAATTGGAATCACGGTTTACATTCTGATTGTGCATCATGATTCATTTATACAACGCGCACTTAAATATGAGCCTTTACTGAAAGCTTTATATGTTGCCCTGTGGATTACAGAACACGAGGTTATTAGCGCTCATAGCGCTCTATGCGCTAGCCTGTCTAATGGCACTTATCTTTCCAACAGAGCCTGTGTTTACGAATGATGCATTTTCTTAGGTTATGTATGCTTGTACAATACATGCTTGAGACGAACGTTGGTAAAGCACGAAAGCCAGCAAGAAGAGAACGCTTAATTCATATGCTTCGTTAAAGAAGTTTCTAACCGCTTAGTTTGGATTCGTAAAGTGAGTGAGATAGAACAAACTTCTAAGCAGCTACTGACCTACTGACTAGATCAAGATAAGTTTTGGAAAAAAATATTTGAGATAGTTGGTCAAAACTTTCTGTTGGCAACTTCACGCACATCTTAAAGGTTAAGGCCGCGTCCATACGATTACTGATCGAGTCGGAGCGGCGGCAAACTTCAAGTAGATCGTAAAACAATTGACTCTGAGCACCAGGACCGTATCCGAAGAGCAGAAGAGTCGATGTTGTTCCTCTTAACACTGATACATCATGACCGTTTTTGTCCTCCTTTGGACGCCCCCGGTAAAGATAAGCTGAGCTGCGGGTGGAAACGGCGGAGGGTAATTTAAGCCCAACTTCAAATTAGTAAACGCTGCCTAAAACGCTGCTAACTGAGCTCAGCGACCTGGTAAACATGGCGGCAGCCATTAAACATTAGGCTCCGAGTTGCGATCAAAGTTTACGGTTCGACTCAGGTTTGCTTCAGGTCTCGGATATATAAAAGCCGTGGGGCATTTTGATAGAATCCGGGTTATGTAATAACCGAACAGGTTTACTTTGGTTTTCTGGATGAATCCTGAAGTTGCTTTTTAGATAAGACCTAAAGTTATCCTATAAGGCCAACAATAGGATAGATGCGCGTGCGTCATTTACAGAGGAAAGTTAGCCCAGTTGAACAACCGAAAATATATGGCGATCAGTAGGGTTTAACCGTAAACTGAGGGACATTAGAATAAACGACTCTAACACAGATTTCGCTCGGTTTCTTAAGCTCCACTGGTTTTAAATACTCTCTGCTAACAACTTTGACAGGTAGTATCATTAGCCTCTTACTGCCTTTTACTGACCCAATGGCCGAATATAAAAGGGCTGGTTTACTCGCCTCATTCATGATATGCAGAATCACCTTAGTGGCACGGAATGTTACACTTTTCTTTATATTTTAGCCTGGCTCGTGTCAAACAGAAGAAGACTTTCGCGCTAAACAGTGCAACCAGTTTAATCTGTATAAGCTACATGGAGTATATCATATTTGGCTGCCATTTGTAGATTACCAAAGTGAGCACCCCTCGTTCGTTTAAATGCATGACCATTAAAGAGGACAGTGGCTTTTTTAGACAAATTGTACGTTGAGCTCAGAGTAAGTTGGTCCTTGAACGGTCGCTCCGAATATTCCAAATTAGAAGAAACAGTATGAATAGGGCTTAACCATGGAATAGTAAAATTCTACCGACCGAAAAGTGAAAACAAGCTGTAAACATTGAGCTACCCTGGCCTGAGGTTCTTAAAATTAACTCAGCATAGGACATTGATCTATACCACCATCTCTTTAGCAAAGTGTGTAAGTCATGAATTCCCTAGTGCTACAAAAACTGCTATTCCTATCCAATCCGGTAAGCCGTGGCTAACCAGCCTTGCTTGTGATACACACATTTGCTAGGTTGGCTTGTATTGTGGCTCAGATCTAAAACTGGCATAGCGTCACCAACGTTCCCGCAGTTAATGCGCTCACCACAAATCTACCATGCCGAGACTCTCCGAAATGAACTTTGTTCTTGCTGCAGGTCCTTGTCAACTCCAATGCATGTCCATGCAAAATGGGCAGGTACTCAACGGGTCGATTCCAGTTCGCGATGGCACACTCTGTCACTACAACAATTTGGATCACCGCTGTGTTCAGTCACAATGTGTGGTAAGTACGAAGCGTGTTCACCGACCACAGGTTGTTCCGTACTGCAGCGTGAAGTTGCCTTACATGTTCCTTCTTTGAATGTCGCTTACGCCGTGTACGGTGCACGATGTGCATTCGTGACCTGATAACAACTCAGCTAAATCGAACGGATGACCTTAAACTTAAGAAATTACCCGCTTTACTATTTGGTACAAATACATTTCTTCCACGAGAGGTTAATCGAAAAGCGAAGAGCGAACCAGGATCAGTAAGTAGTAAAGACTGAATAGCAAGTAACAACAATAGTAATTATAATCATAATAATAATGCACATTTGCGTTTTCTCAGGACACTCCTATAAATATAGGTAGATTTTTCTTATAGGCGCGTGATAAAAATATAACGCAACCGCAGTGGCTTTATCCCAGGGGTTTCTGTTAGACCGGCTGGTTTGTCTAAATCCTGGGTGTGGGCATTGACTTGGTATATTTGCATATTTCTGCTCGCATATGTTAGGGTGCAACGAGTATTTCTTGTTGTCCCAATAATACATGATGGGAGCAGGCGTTAGATTTAATCATTAAACTAGTTGGCGAAACTACATAAACGTTTTATGATGCGACCATTTTAAGTCTTAGTTGTATGGATAGAATGTGGTTTGTAATCTCAGTCTAGATAACGATTAAGGTTGAAGTAAAGCGCAGTGTTACGTATGTGCTGCGCCTAAAAGATCAAACAAGAGCTTACTTCACATGTAATCACAACCCAAAAAGGGGATTAGTGAGACACTGATGATATGCGACTGGGGCTCTGTAACCAAATGTTTCAACTGCATTACTTTTAAACCTAGGACATGAAAAGAATACTGCGAGTAGCGTAGTTCACGTCACGCGAATCGTCCGAAATTACATGGCTGACTCCACGTTATTCTATACCAGTGCATTGAATAGGCCGAATTCGGATGCAAATGATACGAACCATTGAGTTACATGGTGCGAAGCTAACAATGACTTTATGTGGGTTGTGAAGCATTGCTTCAAAATACCGTTAGGTGAACTGGTGGAATTAACAATAAAGGTTACTAAAAGCAGTTTATACTCTAAACAGCAAAAAAGGATTTATCATCTTGTGGCGAGAAGGACTGAGAGGGGCAGATCAAATATTGCCAGAACAATGCGCAAACTGACCGCTCGCAAACCCGTACAGATTTGGACCGTGTTTCCTTCCCACGATACCCCGCGGATGATGGTTTGGGCGACAGCCGATGCCATGTGCGTTACGAGTTTGAGCCTAGGAACAATCCCTCTATGTTTTCATCCCGTATCTCCGCTTTGCTACATCCAATTCTGTTCAGCAGAGAGTCGTTCGAAAGCTCGCTAGTTGTTTTCCGGCAGGTGCATCACTCGGTCCGCGTTCAGTATTTTGGGCATCGCTAGCGGAGCATTTGCCTCACTGCGTTCTCGACAAATAGTTCCTCCGTTGTTCTCAGCCCAGGCTCATTACTATTCGTCGTTCGTGATCCGGTCTCGGCTTGCACTGCCTTGTCTCGTTTCATCCATTACGCCCGTTTGTAGTTCCCTATTATCCCGTTTTTATTATCTTTCCGGTTCCCGAGCAGTCGTTGGCTTCTGCCTCCCTACAATATAATATGCTGTAGTCTAGCACTCCCCGTAACTTACTGCACCAACAGGTGACAGCTAAATTATCTTATCTTCAAGGAATATAATGCAGAGATATGTCTTAATAACAAAATGTATTTGGCTGAGTGCGTAATTCGACCAACATTTAAATATGAATAGGGTAGGTACAGGAGCGACAGATTTAGGGAAGCATACATCTGCTGACAAACGCGAACAAAAAGGACATTTCTGTGTCACTATGAATGGCTGTACTGTTCTTCTAGTTTTACCGTGTGACAACACAGTTTTCTAATACTGCTAAGTAATGGTAAGGAGTAGGACACAGGGCTTAGTTTATACAGAACCAAGTAGGTCATTATCGGTCGCGTCGTAATGGGCGATACTGACCCTTGAATAATCCCAAAAGTTTCAGCATGCTCTTATGGAAGATTACACATCCCAATTAGGTATTTGAAAGCCCGACGTTGAAACGGATCCAATGCAGTGAGGTCGTGCTTCGGCATTGGATGCCAGGTTTGAATAGCGTATTCCACATGGGGGCGGACATACGCACGGAGCATCTGTCAAAAAACACTTATCTATTTACTGGAATGCCCATCGCAACTGATTGATGTGTTGGTTACCAGATTTCAGTGCCCTTTCGACTTGCTTTGAGCAACCCAACTTATCCTAAACCAGCATTTCAAGTTCGCGTTGGACTAAAAATCGTTTTAGTACATGCTTTTCGAGTCTGTAGGACCAGATGTTCTGATGTCGTATGGAGAGTACCTCGCATTTAATAACCTTGAAATGCAGTACATTTCAGATTGACCACGGATTAACCGTGCCTAGGTCACACGGAAGCAGACGCGGGTGGGAATCACCTGAATCCTGCACCATGCCTTGATGTCATTAGCATACCCTTGAAAAATCGAAGCGATTGCCTGCCGGAGGTCATTACTAAATACCAAAAGTTATCGTGGCTCTAGAACCTATCAATGATGCACACCATACTCTACTTTTGGGTGACATATGTGGAGCACCGAACCATGATCCTAAATTACCGTTGAAAGCAAAAGTTGGCGGTCCAGCTTAAGAGAAGGTCATCGATCTCGTAAAACCGGAGCTTGTAAAGGAGAATGCGATGAGCTCGACCATTGAACATATTGGAAATATCTAAGTGAAACACTTCAGTTGTTTTTCCAGGATCAGCTGTTTCAGTCTAACTATTCCTTGCAGTACTAAATTCGTCGTGTATGGGCGCTGACGACGGAGGCCATACTGCTCAGGAGCAATTAGGTTGCAGTATTCCAGATAGCACACTAGCGTATCGGCAATGATGGATTCCATGAGGAAGGGTAGTACAGGAAGGAAAGACACTGAGCAGTCTTCTTTTGCCTTTGCAAATCGCAGTTAATATTCGTCCACATGATAGGAACCTGTTTCTGGTCTAAGCAGCGCTAGAAGAACTGAGACAGATGTTCTATCAATTGTCTTGCTGCGGCTCCCGGTGCTCCTGTACGAATGATATTGACACTAGGGGAACTGTGGTTGTGCAGAGATGTCAGTTTCTGTGATACGGCTTCGGCAGTAAAAGAGCTGTAGGTAAGTCCTGGAGACCGGGCTACGAAAGTTGCGAGGTCATCTGATGATAAGACCTGCTAACATGTGTGGGTGTGTTGCGCGCCCAACTAATTTGCTGCTTCTGTGGCCGTTCTTGTTGGGCCTTCAGCCGTAGAGAGCGGAGTAAATCGCTGCCTCCAATTACGAACGTCATTGACTTTCCTGCACAAAAGTGTGTGGTTGGTACGGAAGGCTTTTTGCCAGGCGCTACTTATTTGCGGCTTCCGCATCTCTGAGCAGTTTAGGGTGGGGGTTGGACTGGGATACGTAGATGTCCAAAGTGTCTGGATTTGGAGAAGAGCAATGCACTTACAATTTGGCGTTGCCTATTAACATCCGTTTTTGAGTTACGCTCCGTACAAGTGAAACTGTTTGGGCCTTTTGCAAACCCATTTCTCTGTACTCAGGCGACTGAATTTTCTGATGAGTTTCGTTCAGGTGCCTTCAGGGGGTCGTCGGTGAGGAAGGATTTGGTTGTGTACTCACAAATTGGCCACAGCGGTCGTAATGTGTGGTAGCGCCCACAAGCTCAGAGTTCGCAGTTTGGTATTCCGCGTAACAAATGAATTTGAAAATAATGACTGCGTAATCTCTGCGGTCCAAAGGACAGCCTACAACCAACACATCAATCACATGTCACGTGGTATGTTACATGTTCTGCACCGAGTGATCAAAGTGACATGATTGTAAGGCGGAAAACTGCTTATGAGCCTCTGCAGACAGGTTTTGAAGTTTGCGCCGATCGTGGCAGGGGTGTCTAAACAATATATGAGATCATTTATGAACAAGATGTGCGTGTATTTTTCATTTAAAGAGCAGTCACGAGGTAGGAGACCATTACTGATGTGGAGTTTAGCGGGCGAGTATCCAAGACTGTAACACAGGTGCATCTATCTTTAAACTGCAGACGGCACTAAAGCGAATCAGGGACCTGGAAGTCTGTATCCTTCATGATCTCGCACTGCAGGTCGCTTCGTTAAGCTAGAAGTACCCCCTCTGTTTTTATGACACTGTCGTTTCGGATGAATGACATAGCTGGCAGCAAAACTACAGTGTCCGCCATTCCATATAGACTCACTCAGATAGCCGCCACACGCCCGGAAAAGCACTGTGCGCGCGTTTCATCCTTTCGGGAATCATCAGCAGATGTGACGAATTTCTACCTATACCATTCAACTCCCTTACTACTCTTCTGTGATTAGTACGCCGACCAAACTGCTTATAACGCCATAAGTTAATTGGCGGCTTAAGTTTGGTTAACTCGTCGCTTGGTGAGGGGGTTACCTTGTCCTCTGCACGGCAGTAACGTGTAAGTCAGTGGATAGTGAGCGGCGCTACATCACATCTAGTAACTTATTCACGATTGTCGTTGCCGTCCCCCGTAGCTCAGTGGTTTCAACCACGCACTGGCAACAGTTCGAGCCCTACCAAGGGTCCGATGGAATGCGCCCTGCTGATGGTTCCCGATAGGATGAAACGCGCATACAGTGCTTTTCTGGGCTTGTGGTAGCTGTCTGAGTGAGTCTAGATTTGACGAATTTCTACTTATACCATTCAACGCCCCATACTACTCTTCGGTAAATCTAAGGTCGGCTGTTGCTCTTTTTTCTGATGGGATACTGACACTGCCCGAAAGTTGATTTGGCCAACGTATGTCCCATTCCTCGTTTAGACCTACGGCAAAGTGAATGAACGGTCCATTGAAGCTCCTATGTAATCCTTGGTGGGATTTCTTCTGCAGCTGATTTCATGTCGTGTTATTGCAAAGCTTCTGCAGCC